AAATAACCATGTTAAAATTTTATACAAAAATTCCTACCTATTCCTTGTGCTTACAGAGAGACGGCAATCCCTTCTATCCAAGTTGACATGGCAAATGATGCCACCTAGGAAGTGCTACCCAGCCATCATATATAACCATGTTAAAAATTTATGCACTGTTCCTTGAATCCGACCGGTTCCTTGCGCTTATAGAGAGACGGCAACCCTTCTATCCAAGTGCCCATGGCAAATGATGCTACCTAGTAGGTTGTATCCAGCCACCATATATCACCATGTTAAAAACTTATACACAGAATCAAAGCGATTCCTTGTGCTTATAGAGAGAAGGAAAGTCCTACTATCCAAGTGCCCATGGCAAATGATGCAACCTAGAAAGTTGTACCAAGCCACCACATATAATCAAGTAAAAAATTATACACGGAATCCTACCTATACCTTGTGCCTATAGAGAGACAGAAACCCCTTCTATCCAAATGCCCAGGCAAACGATGCCACCTCAGTATGATAGTTCCCAGCGACCACAAAAAACCATGTTAAAATTTTATAAAAAGAATCCTACCGATTCCTTTTTCTTATAGAGAGACGGAAACCCTTCTATCCAAGTGCCCATGGCAAATGATGCCACCTAGAAAGTTGTACCCAGCAACCACAAAAAACCATGTTAAAATTCATAAACAGAATCCTACCAATTCCTTGTTCTTATAGAGAGACGAAAACCCCTTCTATCCAAGTACCCATGGCAGTTGATGCCACCTAGGAAGCTGTACCCAGCCATCATAACTAAGTAGGTAAGCATACGAGGATATCAACTCGGCTGGCACTGCGCAGCAGGGTGATATGCAAAAGGAGGAGTCTGCGTAGGAGGTCACTGTGTAGGAGGATGTCATGTAGGATGAGGAGGTGCTTTCTGAGATTTAAGGTGTTTAGCGCATGCGCAGTAGGTCCTATGGTGATGCCGAAACCAGAATTGTTATCAGTGTATGTTATTACCTATATGTACCAAGTTTCAAATCGATTAGAGCAAGTTGAGTTTTTCGCATGCGCAATAGGTCCTTTGGTGATGCCGATACCAGAACTTGCATCAGGGTATGTGATTAACTATATGCTTAGTAAAAGCGTTGTTGTTTGTTTTACTAACTAATTTGTGTGTTAGTTTGTATATATATAACTTCTCACCTAGGTGTGTGCAGAAGCGAAGAGTTGAGACGACTTGTTTTTCTCTGTACCAGAACTCGATTAATCATTTTTACTATCTGCACAACTATAATAAAACAGCTCATTATAGGGGATTAACTAAAACAAAGCGAATAGAAAAGCTAGGCTACAAAGCGAATGTAGATACAATAGGAATATATCCTGTTGTGCGTAAGTGCAAATATGTGGCTGAGTATATGGCTGATTAGGTGCAAATAAAATGTCGTATTATAAGTTCACTATTAGAGCCCCCCCCTCTAGAATGTAAGAGGAGCGAAACAGTCGATATAAGTTTGAATATGGGGACTTCAGAAACCAAAGCGATCTGGAAAATGAACTTTGCACCCTGAACGTGTCGTGCATTGGTGACTAGAAAAAACTGGTGTGTTGTCAATCACTGGGAAGAATTGGTTTTCTGTTGAAATGTAAGAGTCACAATCAGAATCCAAGTGGGCCACTTTGAGGCGATCAATGCTGATTGTTTTATGTGTGCCAGCAATCTCTAGAACGAAATGCTTGTCTTGACGTTGAAGCACCTTGTAAGGCCCATCGTATGGTGGCTGAAGTGGCTTGCGAATGTTATCATGACGCACAAAGACAAATTTACAAGTTGCTAAGACTGACGGAAGATGAAACTTGGTTTCCTGTTTGCGAGGTGGTGTAGGCCGAAGACTTTGCATAGTAGATTGAAGATGTTGTGCATAAATTGTAGGGTCCAAAACATATGACTCTGGAGAAGAGGTAAAAAAATCACCAGGAAGACGTAGGTTACAACCATACACAAGTTGTGCAGGAGTGCTGTCAAGATCTGGTTTCAGAAGTGTCCGGAGGCTGAGAAGAATTAGTGGCAGACTTTTACACCAACATGATGGATCAGAAGATGCCTTGATTGAGCTCTTGAGTTGACGATAGAGGTGTTCAACCATGCCATTCGCGCAAGGTTGATAGGCTGTTGTGTGGATCCGCTCGATTCCAAGAATCGACGTCAGTGACGCAAAAAGAGCAGATTCGAACTGAGCCCCGCGATCAGTTGTGATGGTAGAAGGGACGGGCGACAGTTTCAGCTGTAATGTCAGCAAGTGGAATGGCTTCAGGCCATTGTGTGAAACGATCGATGCATGTCAAGAGATATTTGGAACCTTGAGATGGTGGAAGAGGTCCAGCTATGTCAATATGTATGTGGTCGAAACGAACATCTGGTGTAGAGAAAGTGCCAAGGGGTGAAACAGTGTGGCGAGTAACTTTTGACTTTTGGCACGGTACACAGGATCGAGTCCAGTTGCGAATACCTTATTTATGCCTGGCCAAACATATCGCTGAGTGATAAGATGTTGTGTAGCTCGAATTCCAGGGTGGGACATGGAATGCAACTGGTCGAAAATGAGGCGACGATAACACAAAGGAATATATGGTCGTGGGTGGCCAGTTCAGATGTCACAGAGAATGGTGCCTGTTGAAGATTGTGGAGGAAATTCCTTGAGGCGTAGTGAAGAAAACTGTACAAGAGACAAATCAGGGTCGTTTTGTTGAGCTTTGGCAAGAAGTACAAAATCAAGTGGTGAGGACGTTTGAAGAATGTTTATATCTGTCCTAGATAGGGTGTCAGCGATAGGTTTGTTGAGGGCTCTGTGCTCTGTAATCACCGCAAGGACGCCAGTCGCCAGTTGTAGGTTTAGGGACCATGTGGAGTGGAGACGATCAACTACTTTCCGAAGGACGAATGATGCCCAATTGTAGCATGTGGTCAAACTCGGCTTTGGCGACAGCTAAACGATATGGTGCGAGGCGTCGAGGCCGGCAGTAAACAGGTGGACCGTTGGTTCGAATATGATGGGTAACAGTGTGTTTGACAGCAGATTCTTTATAACATGGACGGGCCAGTGCAGGGAACTTCTTGAGAAGGGCTTGATATGGAGAAGTTGTGTTTGGAAGCGCAAACATTGGCCTTGGTGAAGAGTATGTTGATTTGATACCATTTACAGATAAGGTAGTTATCGTATCAATTAATTTACGTTGGCGCACATCCACTTTCAAGCCAAAGTGGGCAAGAAAATCAGCACCAATAATAGCAATTGGGACGTCAGCAATAAGAAAAATCCATTGAAAATTACGGCGAAGTCCTAAACCCAGAGCCAAGGATTTTTCACCATATGTTGAGATTGGAGATTTGTTGACAGCTTGTAGGGTGATAGAAAAGGGTGCTGCTTTTCAAAGCGTGAAGGAGGAAGAACACTTACGTCAGCGCCTGTGTCGACAAGAAAACGTGTGCCAGTAGGACGGTCTGTGACATAGAATAGGCGACTTTGGTGTAGGGTGCCAGGAAGACTTGTCGCCTCTAGCCGCTGGCGGGGCAGTTTTCCTTGTTGCTGAGATGCAGAAAGCTTGAATGTGAAGGAGCATGGTGATTGCATTTGCGGGCAGCAGAACCAAAACGCCAGTGATACCAACATCGAGAACTTGCGTGACGTTCATTGCTTGAATTTCGACGATATGGAGAGCCTGGTGGAGTGGGACTGCGACCACGTGGACCAGAACGAGGTCGTGAAGTATAACGGTTGGCCAGAGCTTGTACTTGTGCAGGTAAGGTGCTTATTTGCTGACGGAGTTCTGCAACTTCGCTTGGTGGTGTTGTGTTGGAGGCAGCAAAAGCAGCAACGGGGGTGCAGGGGTAGCCACTTCCATTATTTTATCAGCAAATGTTGCTAGATTTTCAGTGGAAACTGATTCGGGAGTAGAGGCTAAAATTAGCTGAGCGTTGATAGGCAGCCGATTTAAAAATATTTTTCGCAATAGGCTGTCTTCGAAACGATTGTCACCAAGAAGTTGTCGCATTTTGCGGAGAAGTTGCGAGGGCTTTCTATCACCAAGTTCCTCTGAAGTCAAAAGCTGGTGAAAACGTTTTTGCTCAGAAGCTCAAGTGCGCTTAATCAGTTCTGCTTTGAGTTGATCGTACGGCTCTGCTGTAGGAGGATTGACAAGCAGGTCGCGTACCTCTTGTGCAATTTCAGGTTGCAGTGAAGCCACCACGTAGGCATATTTGGTGACTTGAGATGTGATATTGCGTGTTAAAAATTGGGCTTCCACCTGTGCAAACCAGACAACGGGATCAGTCGGCCAAAACGCAGCGACTGGAGATAGCATGGCATTGGAGAAAGTAAGCGAACCTGTTGAGGTGCTGGCAGTTGGTGTTTCGTCATTCATTGTTAAGATTGAGCTTTATGAAAAATATGGCCTATCAAATAGCGAGGAATTTGACAAGGGCAAATCAAATAAAAAGCGTGGTCACCAATTTAGTAAAAGCGTTGTTGTTTTTTTTACTAACTAATTTGTGTGTTAGTT